TATGGGATAATACACATATGGCTGTACAAGCATATAGCCATTAGTACATCAAGAGATTCACAAGGTATCTAACCATGATTGTGTACCATCCTTCAAACTAGGTTTTGCTTTTTTTATGATAGTGCTATAATGTTCTTTGAAGCATGTTATGCAGTACTCCAAAATCCAAATATCTGCCTTTGTTGTCGATTTTTTTTGAGGATCACCTTTGTTGTCAAATATGATAATGTTTCAGTGTTTCCAAATGCTCCAACAGCCAGCAATAAGGCTTTCTTTGAAACCCATAGTGTATCTTCTTTTCCCATCCATAAGCATTTCAATGATGTCAAGGTCAATGTTCCATTCCATTCCTATAGCCATCCAGAAGTTTTGACTGAAGTCACAGCCAAAAAATAAGTGTAGTAGATATTCATTTGGGTCATCTTTACACAATACACAGTTCCTATTCTTATCTAGTGTTTCCTTGATATAAGATCCCTTGTGTTGAGTCTGTCTAGTAGTAGAAGCCAGAAAAATATTTTTTGTTTTGGTAGGTTGCATGATTTCCAGATCTATTGGAAGGGTTTATTAGCAACATCAGGTGGATTGCCAATAAGTTGTACGTAAACCCTTCTGTTGGAGTATGTATAGATCTGCCATTGGAACCGCCAACAGTCCTTGATGTTACTGCTATAGTCCTAATTATTGATAAGGTTGAGCATTGTGTGGCTTTGTTGGACAATAACAACTGACACTGGAAGGTGGAACATTTCATAGTAATATGTATTTGCTTGTTCAATCACAGTGGCAATAGTGTTGTTGACATCTTTGGCATAGGAGTATAACGATGGAAGATGTTCTATAATGAATCCTCATTCCACTTATTATGCCATAGTTTCACAGTATTACCAGGAGAAGGTTTGCATGTGGACATATTTTTGAAATCTAACAGGATTAAGCAACAATCTCTCCACCAAAAGCAGCCTACTTTAGTAGGAAAATTGGGAACGGTGCCATCATTTTAATATGTCTCCCGTATCATTTCCACCCATGGTATGTCATGGTTATTGAAGAATTCATATAAGAATTTTGTTAGTAGAGCCCTGTTTTGCACTCTCAGGTCTAGTACACCCAGTCCTCCTGCCTTTCTGGGTAAGCAAACATTTTCCCGTTTTACCAAGCATTTCCTTTGTTTGTTAATACTATAACCGTGCGATAGAAATCCTCTTCCAGATTTTTCAAAATGGTCAAAAATAGTAAATGGTACCCTGATACAACACATAACATAAATGGGAAGATCAGATACTACTACTTTCCAAATCATTTTATCTCTTAAACCGTCCATCCAAATCTCAAACTGTTTTCAGTGTTGTATTCTCGCGTCGAGATCCGCGAAACTAAATCTCATGTTGATAGATTTCGACGAACTTTCTTCACTAAAAAACCCGATGAACAACCTGAATTGGAAGCACGTTTTCTCCCACTGGTTTCCCTGTCTGAAGAGGCATAGCCGTGCCTCCTCTCACGATAGCAAATCTATGCCTATCACGGAAGAAAAAGATGAAAACACATTTTTTTCCTTTCCGAAGAGGCACATCCATGCCCCTCGTCGAAGCAAATCTGCGCGTTCACGAGAAGCAAATCCATGCCTCTCAAAAAAAAAAATGCTTTTTCTCCTTTTCCAAGAGGCACAACTGTGCACTTCACGAGAAGTAAATATGTGCCTCTCAAAAAAAGAAAACTTTTTTTCTTTTTTTGAGAGGCGTGCCTCTTGCAGAAGAAAATATGTGTCTCCAGAAGAAGTAAATATGTGCCTCTCGCGTAAGAAAAAAAAGAAAATGCATTTTTCCCAGGCTACTCACAGAGCAAATTTGTGCCTCCGTGAGAAGTAGGTTTTTGTCTCTTCCTAGACACATGACCACATGTAGACCATCCATCAAGGGGACCCTAGACACATGTCCTATGGTTTATTAATTAGAACATAAAAGTGTGTGGCTGCACTCGTTCATCTAAACGAAAGAACGATACAAATATTTAACAAAAGACAATGAATAATACATTACTCCCTCTGTAAACTTTTTCGACAAAAGGCGCTTTTATTATCTCAAAATGTAGCATCAAACAAATACAAAACATTATGAGTAACACCTGGTCTTTGCATAAATAGAATACACGCCAAACAATAAACATGGGAGGAGATGCCAAGAATGAGTAGGGATGGCACCCGCGGGGTATGGGTATGGGTGGAGCTACCCCATACCCTTACCCGTCCGTCTTGAGTTTACCCATCACCCATACCCATACCTGTCAAGGGTACAATTTTTCCTCATACCCGTCACCCGACAGGGTATATGGATACCCGCCGGTAAAAATAGCCGCGTTTACAACACATCAATTGAGTAGAAAATAGTTGTAAAAAATAGGATATAATCATAAATTATTAATAGCAACACATTTTAAACAACAATGTACAACAACATATTGTAACAACAACATATTCTCATAAACAAAAATACTTGCCTATAAAGTGACATATAAAAATATTAAACAAGAACACATAATCATAAATAACAACACATATGTATACACTTTAAGTTCATGAAATCATAATAAATTATAGAGATAATTTGAATATACATTAGAGTTTTTACCTAGCGTGATTAGGAGGGGAATGAATACATTGGGATATTAACGGAAACCCACCTGTCAACATTTTAGATGGGTACATGGGTATGCGGGCATGGGTTATACGATCTCATACCCGTACCCTCTCTACCCGATGGGTATGATATTTTCCCATTTAAGTACCCATGGGTAATTTTTTGTCCCATACCCTTACCCTAATAGGGTTTTTACCCACAGGGTACGCGGGTAATGGGTACCCATTGCCATCCCTAAGAATGAGGCGACTTGGAATGGACTGGCAGCTTCGGCCGAGACGCTGTTTATCATCTCCTTCCTCTGATCCCCTCTCTCTTGAGATTCCTCCGTAATTCGAAGTTGTAGTCAGTGAATGAATGATGAATTGAGGGGAATAGTAGTGCGACCCGAACAGCAAAGCTTCGGCCTTTTTTGGCTTTGCTTTTTGTCGGTGTGATCCTTTGCGTGTATGTGTTGGTGTTGATTGTGTGCATCTAAGAAAATACAAAACACAATAAATAAACACGCATGATCTGTGAATAACTAAGATTAGTTAGTAAAAGGTGCCCTTTACATTTGTAAGAAAAAACACTCGTTCCAATTTCAGTGGAAATGGAACGTGGACGAAAGCCCTTCTGATCGCTTGTCTTGAAGCGCTAGCATGGCCCATACTCTACTCAGCTCTTCCTTTATCTTCTGGATAGATTTTTTTTTTCTTTATTTTAAAAGGCATCATCCCATCCCGTCCCATCCCATCCCATCCATGAGTTAGGTCAGGCATTATTCTGGTTCTGGGAGGAGTATGTACGCAAGGCATGATATCATTCCTGATCCATTCGCTCGCATAGAAGGCATTGACGTGATTGATGATCATCCGTGGTCCGTCGATGGAGCAAGGGACGTGCGCTTTACACGTTGTGACGGGCGGCGAGCGCATGCAGACAAGCTTCGATTTGTTGGTGCCACTAGTGCCTGCCTTGCCTTTTTTTTTCTGTTTTGCTAGTGTACATTGTACATGTCACACAATCAAGTGCGCGCACAATGTACTATGTGTCTACGTGCCAAACTCCTACTCGCTGGGAGTGGGTGAAGCAGTGATCGCGCGACCCGTCTATCAGCAAGCATAAAAGGTGCAGCTACTGAGCGGGTTCTCCAGAAGCAGCGCACACAAACACACACAAGAAACACCTGAGGGACTGTTCCAGCTCTGCTAGCAAGTGTTGGTGATCGATGGAACCTCCTCCCCACGAGAACGAGATGACCAGGTCCGTCGCCATTAGTTCATCCGACATGAATCGGTTCCTTCCTTGGCACCTTACCGTGAATTAACGTACTCGGTCTTTCGATTTGGTTTGACTGGATTTCGAACTGCAGGTCGGAGTCGGCACCGGCCACGGCGGTGAAGACGGTGGACGTGCAAACGGCGGCGACACCAGCCGTGGGGGTGACGCCGGTGGACGTGCAGACGGCGGCGACACCGGCCGTGGGGGTGACGACGGTGGACGTGCAGACGGTGACGCCACCGGCCGTGGGGGTGACGACGGTGGACGTGCAGACGGTGACGCCACCGGCCGTGGGGGTGACGACGGTGGACGTGCAGACGGCGGCGAGGGAGCTTCAGGAGCAGCAGGACGGCATGATGTACCTGGACGTGAGGACGGAGGAGGAGATGGGGAAGGGCCACATCGGCGGCTCCCTCAACGTCCCCTACTTCTTCGTCACACCACAAGGCATGCCATGCTTACCAATCTCCTCTCCTATTCATCCCTGACACTGACGCCATCATAGATTCGGCTCTATCCCATTCCTCCGCATCAATTAACCTCCGTCTACATGCAAACCACGCATGTATGTGGACGTTTAGCCGTCCACGTGCAGCTTCTCGCTAGCCGCTGAAGATGAATGGGTTACTTAATTATTTGCAAAAAAAGATGGATTAGTTTAATTATGTGAACTGATTTGGTGGGTGGTTGTCTGTCAGCAGGGACCCGGGAGAAGAACCCACGGTTCGTGGAGCAGGTCGCCTCGCTCTACACCACAGAGCAACACATACTTGTCGTACGTCCTTTTATACTAGCTATACGTACATTTTTTGTAAAATTTCCTTAGTTGTAATAGTACTACTAATCATCCATGGATGGATGGAGCAGGGGTGCCAGAGCGGCAAGAGGTCAGAGCTGGCATGCGTTGATCTCCTAGCAGCAGTAAGTGCAAGTAAAACGAAATTCTTATTGACGATCGATCAGTTCATCTTACCTACCAGTGTAAAAAAACACTTACCGATACTCCCTTCATCTCATATTAGTTGTTGCTCAAATGGATATAGCTAACAGAAATAGGATGAGGTAAATACACTAGGGGTGCCTCAACTTGTTCTGCACGGTCAGTTTAGTGCCTAAAGTTGCAAAATACACGAAATTGGTGCTTAAACTTGTCCGGCTGTGCAAATACGGTGCCACCTTCTGTATCTGGGCGTATGCTCTGCCCACGTGGTGTGACAACCCCACATATCAGTTGCAGAGAGCGGGGAACGTGCTGGGTGGCCTGTGCTTGAGATTGTTTTTGCAGGAAACTCCTCATATTTAATTTAATCACGTCGGAAAAACTATGTCAGTATAAGCGTATGACAGACAAAAATTAAAGAAAACGTGTGAGTCCACGTCAAACTCTGTTGAATAGGCAATCATGAAGTCGAACTGTACATATTGCGTTGTTATGCAAAAGGTAATTCTTCTATAAAAATATAAAGGGGGCGCTTGCCTCTGTGATCTCGCCTTTTTTGTAACTTTGCAACACGGGCATATTGTGCCTGTTTTTTGAACTTCAAAGAAACGGATTTTTACAGTGCAAAAATTTCTGAATTTTTTTATATGTGCACATATAGAAGTGTAACATATTGTGTGAATTTTCATCAAAATCTGTGCTTGTATGTGAGAGATAAGAAAAAGACAAATACATGCAAAAATCAGCTCTCTTTTTCGCCGGATTTTTGTCTTTATTGCAGAGTATAATATAACATCATTTCAGACGAAATTTGACAGTTACTTATAGCACATGCATATGTTTTTGTCAAATAAATAAATAAATGGTAACTTTTAAGTGACAGTTTTTACCCTTTCAAAAAAAAGTGCTCAGTGGCCACGGTGCTCCAAAAATCCGTTGTGGTCGCTATGTACCTCTTCAAGCGATTTTGTTTCCATATGGCGCTCGTATAGGTCCACACAAGTTTTATTTTTACTTTTTCAAGTTCGTGGTTATAATTTTTTTACTATTTTAAAAAATAAATGTTCGAAAACAAGTACAAACTGCCATAAACTTAGAAGAAAGTTTTAGTGCATTTGAAAAATGTTCAACATGTTTTGGAAAAGTTTTCACATGTATTAACAAATTATAAGTGTTTTTGAAAAATATTTGCCATGCATTAAAAATGACAATGTGTATTTTACAAAAGGCTCAACATGTTTTTAGAAAATGTTCAACGCTTATTAAAATTGTTTTGAATATCCTTATATTTCTACAAACATGGTTGACATGTTTGGATACATTGTAGAATTTAATATTATTAGAAAATAATTTTTTAATACATGTTGAATAGTTTACAAAATACAAAGTTGTCAAATTTTTAATAATTGGGTATTCTAGAAATAGAGTGAAGATACACAATAATTGTGTGTGCTTCTGGTGCAGAATGAAGATATATGAATTTACACAATAGTATTTAATACGGGTTCAACTATTTAAATCAAGATAAATTTCTGAAAAAGTTCATTTCACCTCTTCAAAATACACACAAAAAGAAAAAAAGATTTGAAAATACAAAGTAATTTAATATTGGTAATTATTGTATTTTTATATGGGAAAAATTGTGTGTCATGAAACTAAACATGAACTTGGAAAAAATAAAAAATAAACAGTGGTAATAAATAAAAAATAAATGATGGATAAACGCGTCAATCAGTCTACAATAGCTTTATTGCTAACATTCTTATGGAAAGCAAAGTTCAGCTGCATGGCTAGATTGTGCCGGTAGTTGACCAGGAGGTGCCTCGTTCGAAACTCCTTTGTGTTTTTTTTTTCATTTTATTTCTATCTAGCATACCCTATACTTCAAGATTTTCCTGCATGATTAAATAAAATTCGAGTTTGGTTTCTGTAAAATAATTCCTCACGAGCGGGCACATGGGCCACTGCCGTACTAGCACGCCACGCGTACAGCACGTACGTTGGAATATGGATGAAGGCACCGTATTTGCACGACCGGACAAGTTTGAGCACCAGTTTCATGTATTTTACAACTTTAGGCATCAAACTGACCGCACAGGACAAGTTTAGCCACCTCCGATGTATTTAACTGACCGCACAGAAATAGTTCAGATACATCCATTTCAGCGTGTGTATGATGAGTGATATATGCAGGGGTTCATGAATGTGAAGAACGTGGGAGGCGGCTACGCTGCTTGGCTGCACAACGGACTCCCAGTGACAGTGGCAGTCCCCACGCCGCCACCAACACCTGAATCTGCTGCAGCAATCTGAAACAACTGGTAGTATTATCTGTAACATCTATCAACTCTGCAGCCACCAGTTCTGTGTGGTGCTCTCTGCCTGTGTATAATGCATCTATGAATGCAAGTCCAAGTGGATCGATGGATGGCTGTGATAATAAAACATATCAGTGTGCCTGCCACAGTAAGAGACTCATGCTAGACAGCGTCATGGCTCGTCTACTCCAATACTAGATGACCCGTTGCGCTCATGGCGCAAAAAGCGAGAGCGCGCCAAGTATTGAAAGCATACATACGTGACTGATTTAGAACCAACTTAATAGATACTTATATCTCATTACATGGTATACTTATATCTCATTACATGCTACCATGATGGACTAAAAGGAAGTAATGAGATCACCTGACAATAGCATACATTGGTCTTATAAAGCAAGCTACAGCGGCAAAGATGCATTGTATAGCTGCAATAGCATACATTGGTTTTATAAAGCAAGCTACAGTAGCAAAGATGCATTGCATGGCTGCCAACTGGGAAGACTGGGACATGGAAGCGATGGTATTATGTAGAATGAGCATTCAAACCATGCACAACATAACATTTAGATGCAGTCGATACATAGCGTTATAAGAGAGGCACAAGATCATTTTACAGTAGCTTATTTACATTGCTTTTATGAAGCAGGGTACATAGGTACAGATGCATCATATAGATGTTTCCATGGTAGATGACTCGTTGCATCCATTCCCAAGAAGCCTATTAGGACCGAGTAATGTACTTTGAGCCATATAATATTTTAGAATGAAACAGTAAGCACGATTCCAAACCTCATTTCTATAGCATAATAGGATGAGAGGTAAATAGCTTTTTAGATAGTCCTCGGATATTCTAAGATAATGTTTATGGACCATATATTACATGGCACGATATAAGCATGCATGGATCTAAAGAAGGTAGAGTAAGCACATCATCACATAGATCAAAGAAAAGATAAATGTACATAAGCACTAAGGCATCAACTACTTCTTTTGACTAAGACGGAACTTGCCCACTTATTTGCCTCTGAAAAAAGTACATCATACAATCTCTCTTTGATCCGAAGACATTATGTCTTTTTCACGGTTTGTGCCGCAACAAAGTTGTTCATGATAATACATGCATAAGAAGTGAAAAACATTATTGATTTGCACAATGCCATGCAAAATGACTCTACTGCCCCTTGGCGAATTTGCAATTCTGTTCAAATCTTCTCCTCCATGGTTGACTGCTGGTCTTTTTTTTTGGCAAACTTTGGGCCCTGCCCTCCGAAGGAGGGGGCCTCCCTGCTTTCATTAAAACCAGAACCAAAAGGCTCCACCAAGATTACAATTTGAGTAACATCAGGGCCTCAAAGATAAAGAAAATTACAATCTTGCCCTCAAGATACATGTGCTGAGGGACAAAAACACACGTCAATAGTTGCCTCACGGACTGCCACCAGGACACAGAACACCAACCACGTGTCTGGCACCCTTGGTTCCATCAAACAGATCTTCGTCCCGTTCCCCTCCCCCTTACTCGTACTGAAGTGAAGTAAGAAAGCACCAGGAGGAGGCCGACGAGGGCACCTTGGGCTCCATCTTCGTGGGCGGCTCATGCTGCAGCTTGGCGGCAGAGCGGCTCCCACTGCAGCTCAACAGCTCGGAGGTGCAGCAGCTCCATCTGCATCTCGGCCGCCCAGTAGCTCCTGCTGCAGCTCGGAGCTGCGGAATCAGCAAATGGGGTCGCCGTTGCTCGTAGCGGCAAGCCAAATCCTTGCAGTTGCCACTGTCGCTCCCTGAAGCTGGTGACTTTCCACGGCAAGGGAGGCTCCAGCAAGACCACAACGGCCACCGTTCCCGCTCAGGTACACACTAACCTCCTTCGGTGTTTGATGAATCTGTAGAATTTTTTGTGAGGTCGTTAGCTCGATCTCCACCGATAGTTGTGACCGTCGCTGCTGCAAAATCCCAACTTAGTTCACCCCTGCACCTTAGCTTGTGGAAGCCATCATCAAGGACGGGTACCTAGGCCTGGATAATACCTAACTAATCTATGAGGAAAGAAAAAGAAATGAAAATCCAATACACATCATCATAAGCTTTAATTTATCAAGAAAAACACATTTATAGAATTTCTAATTAGCTCAATTTATAGTAGAAATAAAATAAATCACATGTTCAAATGAATGAAGAGGGCTCAAGACCTCGAACCAGGTGTGAAAACCCAGAGTCAGATAATTCTAACTGCACACCTATTTATAATTGTCCCAAAATAAGTGTCGCTGAGTACTAATTTTGACACTTATCTCATGCATTTGATGTTCCCTAAATCAAAGAAGAAATAACGCAGGAAGTACGTAAAGTCCAAGCTGGTCAAGTCTCCAGTGACAACCGCTATGTGGGAAGAATTAGACTCTGTTGCTAGTTAGTACGTACAAGACACAGTCTATTCATGCTAACAATATTTGCTATTATACTCTTAAATCACACTTAATGTTTCTATTTCCTAAATTAGAATAGTGACCTCTGTACAGCAGAAAACAAATGCGCGTGTACCTAGCTTAATTACCTCACAAAGCTATTAGCAAGGTAGTAGCAAAATCTTAAGCTCCTTTTGGTTCTTGCTCTGTTTCCACTTGAGCAATCCCTCCCTGCCTCTCAAATCTTCACCAATGCCTGCAAAAAGCATGCACATGGGACTGCATTAAGATAGCCAAATGAACAAATAGTCCGACCAAGTCATTCACTATAACCAACAATTGCCTTCCTAAAACATAACTTGAAATCCTCTAGATAGCCTCGTTTCAAAAGAGAAGCTGAACAACCATTGGATGGCAGAGACGCCAAAATAGCTCAAATGATGCAGCCATAGGCCAATTTCCAGGCATTATTATGTCGCATACTTGTACAGTTGTACTTTCCAAAGCACCAACAATGAAAGGTTAGAAAACCAATTTTGTCCTTCATCATGCAAGTACCGAGAAGACACTTCCTTGATGAGTGACCTTACTGAAGTACCGAAAAATCAAAACAAAATGTTAAAGTAGACACATGTAACTTTCAGATATTGGTGTCATTTAATATCAATACTGGAAGATGCTTATCAATAACTATATACAGTTCTTATTCCATTCACACATATTTCTTGCCTCCTGATCATGGTATTGTAAAGGGGACTAAAGAGACAGGTTCTAGGGGAAAAAGTAATAGAGCTATAGGAAATAAAGTAACTCATTTAGGTATGACCATGGACAAGGCAAAGGTTTCAGAGAGAAATTGGGGAATAAAGCAATTTTCTCAATCTAATTACTTCAGAATCATCAGTATGAGAAAACATTGATACCTGCTACTACATACTGATCCACTTGCTTATCTTCATGGAAGAGTACCATTAGTCCTCTGCCACATGAAACAAACATAATGGCCATCTAACATCAAATAATGTCTTCTTGAAACTTAAACATAGAAAGGCAAGTTTGAGGTACAAACAGAATCACCTATGTTATCACAAAAAAAATTAAGAAACCAAGAAAACGTCCTACAAGAGAAACTTGCAACCCATCCTAAAAATTCTAGAATTTGAACGACATCAGATTCAGCACAAGGCAAAGTATGTATCTTAATCTTATTGAACCAAAGAGAGTAAAACAATAAAACTGGGAACATTATATACATTAAAAATATAAGTGTCAAAGACCACCGTTGCCATTCTCATCAGCATCGACCAATTTTGCGAAAGTAAAAAACATCAAACATGGGAACCGTACCGCCCATCCTAAAACTCTTGGAATCCGATACACGAAGAACATCAGACACATGACTACCATACAGCATATAAAAAAATTAAGTTATTTTAATTACTGGGAAACCATGCATCTATTGCCAACAAAATTGGGGCTTCTCATGTACATCAGACCAACAAGTGCAGCTGCAATTTTAGAAGTATTTTGGTTTGACTGAAGCAAACGCTAGTCCTCGCACAAGACCCCTTCCAGCCTCATGCTTCAACCTAACACACGTACGTAATACATCAAGGCCCCATGAGCACAAAATAGAAATGAATATATACGCTAGTAAGACCAGAAATTAACAAAATACAGGGAACTTAATCATATTGTCTTGCATGCATCAGGATGTAAGATGCGGTGACCTTGGCGCTACAACCATGGAGACAGCCAGTCTGGACATGATGGTGGCAGGGGTTCAGCAACAAGAAAAAGGAGGAGAGTCTGAAAAGTAAGCACAATTACTGATCATTTTTACAATTGCTGATTTAGATTCCGATTCATACTCTAAAATAGGAGGGCTAAAATTCTGCACTCAACCGCTATAAATAAACTACACAAGATGATAGTGAGACTGTGCGTAGAAAGATAAATGTGCAAGATCGACATCTTTGCTAGTAAAAGACTTAGCATTTTCTTCTTGCAGAAAGTACATCTCTATTTTTGGACAAAAGAATGCAACACATACAAAGAATGGAAAATCGCCATCGAACAAAAGCCATGTTCCACCATTCAAGTATCTGAACAAACAAGCATGGGATTGGTAGCAGTAGTGAATAGTATGCATAGATGTGTAGGCAAGTAACAAAGATTAGCGAAAGGGAAACAACTTATCCAAAAGAAGAAAGGTTTTATATATTTTCAACGTACCCAGCCATAAAATCATATGCTTCTTGATTAACAAAATGAACACACAATTAAGCAGGCATAGGAGGTGCACAATCATGTACTGACAAAAAGCAGAGATGGAAAGGGAGTTCACCCATCCATCTTCAAAAAGAGTTCTGAGTTCCGCATATATAGAGAGACACAGATAGTGGTGTTCTGAAAATAGCTCTTCTTAATTCTGCATTTCTCCTAGGTACATCTATAAGAAATGCAGAGTGAAGCTGATATTTCCGTTCTATCTTCACAAAGGGTCGAAAGAGCATGTAATAATTAGTGATTTACCTGAGAGTAAAAGGGTCGCAGGTATATTCATTAACTGCCCTCATACAACCTGCAA